GGTGGATGACAGGAGCCAAGCAATTCATTAATTCTGCAGTGACTCAACAGAAATGATGCATGTGTCCCTTGAATTTAATCAAGACCTCCCTGCCTGCCTTCAGACCAAGCTCAGGACTTCTTGGCACAGCAGGCAGAACTGAATTTTGCCACTGTGGATGAGACAGAGCAGGGGCTGCCCCTGCCAAAGGGAGGGGAGGTGAGTGAGGCAGAGGTGGCACAGAGTCACATTCCCTGGGTCTCTTCATACATATCCTTTCCTTATCTTGGTGCCTTTTTTTCACAAGGACCCCATCACTGTTTTCTTTCCTAGATTACTGTCTATATGTAAATCCTTTCAAAGGAGCAGGTATGGGATGTTTAATCTTGATTTCTGTGGTGTAAAATAAGGGGGGAGCAGAGCCCAGGGCTTTTGCTGCCTGTGGAGATGTACAAAGGAAGATAAGTTCCTGCCATGCCCATGTCTAGCTGCATCTTTGCCTTCTTAATACACATTTAAACAGGATCTTTGCATGTGTAATAGAGAAAATAGTTCTTTGAGGACAAGTTGTTTTAAAACACAGGGTTGATAAACATCCCTTGATTCTGCAGGGGGCCTCAGTCACTGGATGTGCTTGGGATGGGACAATTCCTGGGCAGTGGTGGGAGATGTCTCCACTTAGCCAACACCTACTATGGTTAGCTGTGTCTCTCTAATCCCCAGAGGGACGAGTGGTGGTTGGAGTTGGCTTGGTGGAGAAGATGATCGCTGTGCTCCTGTTGTTCTTACAGGGAAGGGAGGCAGGCAGAAACTGCTGCAATGCTCTAGAGACACTTGAGATAATCTTTTAGTCTTTTTCACAACAAGTGCAGCTGCCTTTTAGGATTCTTATTGCTCTCTTATTTTATATACTTTTTTTAGCCCATCAGAAGAGCATAGTTTTGAAAAGGGTTCATCACAGTGTAAAATAAAAGCAAACCCATCATCAAATGACAGGTTGAAATTTGGGTTATGGTATGTTTGACTCCTTGCTCTATTGCTAGATTTGTGTTTTTCTGAAGCACCTTGTGCTGCAGTTACTCCTGAGAAAAAGGTGTAGATTTGTACTTCTTTTCTGTGACTATTTGTCTGCCCAAAGGAGAGGTGTGCTCTATTATTACACGTGTATAGGGCTTAGTATGTTAGTTCCAGGTCCTTAGAGGAGACTTCTAGGTGGTTTTGTAGCACAGATTGTAGGGCCACAGTATAGGTTCTATGTATGGGGCACCTAGAGACCATTGATGAAGTTTGCAGGTGTGGGGGAAAACCTTTCTTTGCTTCCTTCAGGCTTCCAATCAATGGAGGAACTCTTCTGGAATTAAGTTGTTTCTAACTTTTTACCTTCAATGAATAATTTAATAAGGTTTTTAGGATGTGACAGGCCCTGCCTGCCTGTTCTTCAAAATGAGGTGTAATTGCTAGTACTGAACTGCAGCTCATTGAGACAACAGCACCTACATCCAGAAATGCCATCTCAAATAAGTGGTTTATCTTGGAATATACCCAAGCCATTGACATGTTCACTTTATTTTCTGAGGTAAGGTGGATTTTTTGGGGCGGGGTTGGTGTGCAGCATGTAGATACAAGTAGATAATCAGAAAAGGCTGAGTTCTTTTACCAACAGATAACATTGTTAGTGGAGTAGGGGCAGAATGAGAACAGCCAGCAATGGCAGCACATATATATGTACATATATGCACACACGTGTGTGTATATATATAAAAAGAGATATCTGTATCTATCTCCCTGATAACAACCCCTCAGAGAGCGATAGGCTTCTAGAGATTGCTGCCTTCAGAGCCACTGTGATTATATAACCACCAGTGCAGAAGGCCACACTGTGACCTCACTGAATTGCATTAGATGGGAATGTCAATATACACAATTAACTAACTGTTGACCTTTAGTCCTGAGCTATTTTAGGCAACCAGTCGAGCTGTACAGGGGAACTCCCTAGAACTTTGTTCCAAGGCTTGCGTTGGAGGTGATACTCCTCCGTGCAAGGGTCAGAAAAGTCCACAGAGATGGAGCAAGTGATTCTGGGGCTAGAAGGGTCAAATTCAGCCTGTCGAGGCTTAGGCTACCCATCACATAATGAGCATGACAGAATCCTCCTATGACAAGGAGTTCTTTAAGACCTAATACTGCTATTGCCGTCATAAGTAGCCAGTTCAACTGAAGGTGACTTAGTGGTGCCTTTCCAAGTGTGTTAACTTCTGTCCATATTTTGGTTGCATTTGCGTTATCTATGAAGATGGAGCAAAGGACCTCCAGTTTTGGAGCAGGAAGATAGGAGAGAACAGAAACGTGCCTCAAATGAGAGATTTTTACAAGCTGTCATGAACAGTGGTGGCATTTAGAAACAGAATAGCAAGCTTGAGATGAAATACAGATAAAAATCCACAATTTCTTGTTTGTTATAGCCTTTTGATTTCCTAAGTGGTGAGGCTCTGATACTGTCTTGGTGCCAGGCAGTTGGATCCAGAAGCCAGTAACGTGATTTCAGAAGGGAAATTTTGGATCACTGAATGTAGTCATCTGCTTTCAGACTGTCACTTCATATATACCACTGTCTTTTTTTGGAATGCTTCATTGCTAAAATGAAGGAATGGAGAGAATTAATTCATTCTGAGCAGGTTACCTTCTGTGATTCACTCATAACTTGAAACTTGAGACAGTTTTATTAATTGATGTGTGACTTCTGTTCCTACAATGTATAGCTCTGTTTCCATGGCAGAATGCAAGATGCTGTTTTACTGGTTCAATATTTTGTTTTTAGAAGATTGATAAATATGTCTTTTTAAGTAATTCATTATTTAAGTCTTATTAATTTTCATTTGCATAATTACAGTGGTAGATTATACTGTGTCAAATATTTAACTTGTCAGTCTTTCCTTTTTTTAAAAAAAAGTTATTACTGCATAATCCCTTTTTAAATGATAGAATTTGAAGTCAGATGCGTACCTGATTTTAGGAGAGGTTGAGCATCAGATAGAGAGCAAATTTCCAAGTTATAATTGAATGCATCTCACTGCATGATCAGCATCCTGTGTCATTAGCAAGTGCAAGTGGTGTGAAGTGTAAGAAATGTAAAAAAAAAAAAAAAAAAAACAAAAAACCAACATCATTTCCAGGATAAAACAAATAATTGATCTTTAAATCCTTAATTTGTTTTGCCACAATCATAACATAGTTTGGTTTGCTTTCTGGCCCAGGGGTATTCTCTTGGTTTTTATTCTGTGCATGTAGCTAGCTGGGTAGGATGGGAAGTAAGTTACGACGTGCTACAGATCAAGAGGCCTGTGTTGGAGTCTTGCCCTCAAGTCTTGCAGTCCCAGCTGTAAATGGATAACCTTCTTTCAGGCTCAGTGCACCTGAGACATCCCAGTGTGAGGCCAGCTAACATTGCTCTCTGTAGCGCTGTTGGCTAGAGGAACATTTTAGTTGATGAGTCCTATAACAAAGAAGGTGGTGGTTGTATCTGTATTTATCAAGTAGCACATGTATCCTGGTGTACTCATCTCACAAAGAAAGAAGAGAATATTGTGTGACAAGGAGCCATGCTTTTGCTATGAGAGCCTGTAGCAGCATTGCTTAAATATACTATAGGGGCTTTTAATAAATTGAGTATAGATTTTAGGAGTCCTGAGGCAGACATTGAGTGTGTGTGTGTGTGGTCAAAGCATTGATGACTGAGCTAGCTCTGGTGTCTCAAGCTGAAGTCCAGGGCTGGGCACAGCATGCTTCTGTGGCAACACGCCTTTAATGACCTCAGGTCTCTCCCAGTCTGGCTTTGTGCTCTTGGCTGGCCCAGGTCTGTGCTGGCTGTGCTGCTTTTTGTGCAGCCCAGCATGGTGTTGACACTTCTGCTGTGCTGATTGCATTGTTCCTTCCTGGATTTCAGGCTTTGCTTTGCAGATCAAAAGAGCTGTAAACCTTTGTTTGAATTTTGAAATGCAAGCAGTGTTTTGCAGCAGTGGGTGAGCCATGCAGGCTATCCAGCAGCTGTGGAACATGGGAGAACCAGGTTCAAAGACTCTCTGTTACAAGGTTATCGGTGTGCATCTTCTCCTTGCCAAACCTCTAGAAAGAGCTGAGATGTTTGTTAGTGGCCCGTGGAATATAGCCACAGAAAAGGCTGATAAATAATAGTTCTTCAAGTCCCAATTCTGAGACAATGATTGTTCTTACGATATTGGTTTTAGAGACTTCTCTATTAACTGTTAAATATGCCAAGAGCTTTGCTTTCTTTTTTTTTTTTCCCCAGTTAGTTCAACTGAGTTCTGAATTTTTCAGTTATTCTGTTTCTCACTGTGCTATTATTGGGTCTTACAAATGTGACTGCTGCCACACCTCCAAGTAGCTGGAAGACCCTGTCAGTAAAAGTAGGATGAAAGGCCTCACAAAGTACAAAGAGGACTTCAGGGAATTGTCTGGTTTGGCAGATGGTGCTCATGTGCATGTGCTAGTATGGAAAACAAGTCCCCAAATAGTGTTTGAGTTACTGAATTACTGACGATTAGGTCTTGTAAAAAAAGAAAACGACCAAAGACAAGCCTCTAATGTCTTGTCATCATTATAAGTGGAAGGGTTAGCTGTTATGTGATAGCTAAATTCTAACTAGACTATATGCCCACACCTCCATCTAATTATTCTAATTGCCGTAGCATTGCTCATTTCCTGAGCCATTGTTCTGTTCAGTGTTTGACAGCTGGCAGGTTCCACTCCAGAGACGGCTGCATTTGACCTTGGGGGAAAATGTTTCTGTTCTGATTACTACTTTTCCAAGAATGGTACTGTGACCTCCCCTTCTAACATTTGACAGTATGCCACTCTGTTGCAGCTAGTCCTTGAATATCTGATGTGGAGTGATACCAGACTCCATACGCTGTGTTTAACCCTGAAGGTGATTGCCATGCAAGGGAAACTCTTCTGAGTTGTGACTTGCCTTTTGTTTGTTTGTTGTTTTAATTTCACTGCAGGCTGGAAGTCCAACCTCTATCTCTGCCCCTCATAGCTTCTCTCGGACTTCAGTTACGCCATCCAACCAGGACATCTGCAGGTAAAGTGTGGTGTTTGCATGGCTACAGTGAGTCTTGTATGAGGTTCAAATTAAGCAAAAACAGAACTGAAGAAGCACATGTATGGGGAAGTAAGCGATGTGGGGTTCCCATATGAAACATGCCATTTGTTTGACTCGACTGCTGTCTAACACTGCTTCGTTGAATCCCACTGACTATTTTTGGGCCTGCTATGTTTGCCATTCCCACACTAGCCGTAATTCTCATTTCTTCACTTTTAATTATACGTGTTCTCCTTTGTAATTGTTTTTTACTTTCTGTGCTTTTATTCCACTGTTCTGCATGCAGTTCCAGTGCAGTGTTTTCTGAGTGTTGTCATCACAGTCCAGTGCAGTCTGCTGTTGTCTTGAAAAATCCTCACTGCCAGAGCCCTCTGACACAAGGGGTCACTGTGACAGTAATCTGTCAGGATGCGTTACATGCAGCAAAGAGAAACTCCCGTGGGCAGGATCGGGGCCAGGCACTCAGGTCTGCTAAGAATGTAAAGCCCACCCGCACTCTGAAATTCTCCAAGTCTCTCAATGATGTGGACCAGAAGGCACAGAGCACCAGTGAGTGCTTTGACTATGTGGAGCGAACATGCTCAGAAGGCAAATTGACCCCAACTCAAGAGCAGTGTTTAAGGATTAACAAGTTTCATCTTAAAGAGAGGAAAACACTGAATCTAAGGCCTCTTTCTTTTAGCAGTTCTAAGCACTCCTATATCCCTTCCCTCTCCAACTACTCAAGTGCATCGGGAGGAACAGAGAACCACAGCGCTGTACATATCCCCTTGCTGGAGGACAAAGTGGACCATGACACCTCAAGGAGCAAAAAACTGTTGCGTTACCTTTTCTCCTTCTCCCACAACTCCAGCACCAGCAGCCTGCATAAGTTCCATGAACTGGAGAGCTATTCCAGTCACTTCCAAGCTGAGAAGTCCTCCAGCGTGCTGGTGGAAAGCACAGACTTCGGTTCTGATGATATGGGAGACGATGACGTCTTTGAGGACAGCACCTCAGTGAAACTGAGAACAAAAGAGCAGCGGGCGCCGCTCTGTTCAGTTGAGAAGGACAGTGACCTTGACTGCCCTTCCCCCCTCTCAGAAAAATTTCCCCCTCTCTCCCCTGTGTCCACATCGGGGGACACTTGCAGGTTGGTTTACCAGAGAACCACCTACTTTTGAGCCCTCCCACGTGCAGTGGTGGCCCTTCTGCTTTCCCCTGCCTTTGTGCTGTTTCTGTCTTTTCTTTCACCTCCTCACCTTGCTTTAATATGTGTGATTTGAAGCATGCAGCCTTCTCTCTGCTGTTTTGCACCCCTCTGATGCACTTAACAAGCCTACTAAGCAAAAGAGTTTCCTTCGGAGTCAAATAAATTCTCTTGCAGTTTGTTTTAGGTTTGGGGTTCTGAGATAGTATTTTTCTCTTATCGGTGCCCAAACTGGGAATATCATGAGAGAATCAGCTACACATATTAAAGGCCATGCTGAACATAGCTTTCAGTGAGCAATGTGTTGTCCTGACAGTCACTGCCAGAGGGTGAGGAGTCAGGAGGAACACAGAAATTGCTTCTGAGACCAGGTCAATGTAGCTTAAGATTTATTTTTTGTTTTTGCCTTTTCCCTGCAGTTTGTATCCCACCACATTCTTTTAATTATAAAGGACTTTCTGGATGCCTTAGTTAAAAGGAAGATCTGAGCATTGGGTGTTACAGAGGTGGGCCTGCATGACGTCCATAATGTGAGGTCCAAAAAGGATGGATGTCCTTGTTCCAACTACAGGCAATTAATCATGTGCACAGGTGGTGGGAATAGCCAGCTCTGCCTGTCTTTATGGTGGCTTGTCTGCAGCTCTGAGCCATCCCAGCTCCAAAATCAGAGCAAAAGTCACCAAGTCTGAAAGGGAGCAACGTCCCATCCCTCTACTTAGCATTTTACTATCCTAATCTTCTCCCTGACAGCACTTTCTGAAGATGGCTTTGTTAGCACCTTCCCATATTCTTTGATTTCCCCACTCATTACCAGCAAAATCTAGTTCCATACTGGCTTGTCATCAGCAAGACACTGTTGTAATCCACCCACTCTTTCATTTCCACTTGCCAGGTATCAGCAAGGTCACAAGAGGCAAGATGCTACACATCAGTAAGAGATTTCAGTAATAGACAGGGATGGCAGCATGCCAGGATGTACTTCATATTTGCTTAGTAACTTATATTCATTCCCTGAGCTCCTTACCATCCCCCTTTTAGTCCATGACCTCTTCCACATGGTTAGAAGGACTTAGTGACGTTTGATGCAACCCAAAGGTTGTGCATAAATTGAAGCTGGAAATCAAATGCCAGTGCCTGGAAGTAACGCTATATTGGGTGTCTTTGCTGTTTGCACAGTTAGGCTGTGAGGGAAATGGGAAATTTTGCAGAGCTGATGCTTCCTTAGCAGCCCTTGCAAAGTAAGAATTGGAGAGCAAAACCTTTAGTCCATTTAGAGTAGGTGTATTTTGGGGAGATTCAGTGCTGTAGCTTTTGCAGCATGGATCTGTCTCTTAGCAATAATAATTACTTCTCTTGTGAGAAGTCCAGGCTGTCTAAATTAACTGTTCATGATACTGGGACAGGCTGTTTCACCATTGGTTTGGCAATTTTGTTTTATCTTCTGTTTCAGATTGTAATCCATGAGTAGCTGTACCTCTCTGTGCATATTTTATCTTGGGAAGTGCTATCTGATCTGTTTAAATGCTTTTTTCAGTTAAGTGCTAATGTTCTAGATGAAGTGTTGTCATTTCTTTCCCTTTTTTTTCTTTTGGATATTGCATTTCTGTCAGGCTGTGTGTGCACACCTCATCTGTTAGAAAGCAGCTGTCTAGTTAGCATTGTCTGTGCTCAATTATTTTGTGTCCATGTATGTGCTTGTGCAGCAATGGAGTTCTTTAGTTTTAGCTCCTTTATGGAACACATTCCTTTGATATGTATGTCTCAGGATCCTCAGTGGACACCCGTGTATGATCACAGATGTTACATGCCTCTCCCACATCCTTTCTGCTTCCTCTTCTAATGAGCAGCTTTGCTTCTGATTCAGGATATGTCACTGTGAAGGAGATGATGAGAGCCCTTTGATTACCCCCTGTCACTGCACAGGAAGTCTTCATTTTGTGCACCAAGCCTGCCTGCAGCAATGGATCAAGAGCTCAGATACGCGATGCTGTGAACTGTGCAAGTACGAGTTCATCATGGAGACAAAACTGAAGCCTTTGAGAAAGGTAGGCACAGGACCTGCTTCCCCAAGAAAATGCTTTTTAAAACACAGATCCATGCTGAAAAGAAACTGTCCTTGCCCATGAGCCCTCCGCAGCCCCCAGGTATTTGTCATGTTTCTGTAGCTCCTTAGTAAATATGGTCAGTTCTGTATAGGTGCAAAAGGATTTAAATTAACACTTGGCCTGGCAAATTCAACATCAGTGGAATCCAGCTCAGAGGGTTAGCTATGGTAGGCTGACAGTTCTTTGTCTGTAAATATCCATACATATACATACGTGCATGAACACCCTGCTTTTTTTCATTACAGTTACAGTTTAGAGCTGGTGCACAAAGGTATTTGCTCTGCAGTTAATCCACTTTTTTTTTTTGTAATGTGGAGTTTTGTATGACTGTTACCTACTTTGGTTTGCTGCTCTGAGATCCGCATGACTTTTAAGCTCTCTTGAAATTATGAGGTTAAACTTACTTTAAATTGCACTTTCTGAGTGTGGTTAAAATTTGTAGCTTTTTTTTTAAAGAAGCAAACCTATTTTAGTGAAAATATTACAGTGTAAGGAGATCAGCCAATAAGTATGGTTTCATTTTTACATCTTCTTAGACTGTGGATGACTAGATTATAGTACTTCAGCTTGCTAGAACTTGTATTGCTGTTTTATAGAGAAGTACCTTTCATAAATTCAGTGACAAGTGTCTAAGCACTTGAATGCTACTGGTATTGTAAAACCAGGTTTGCCCTTGTGTCCTTTTTGTCCTCCCACATCCTCTGGGCTTTCAATTTCAATTGGTCCTTACCATTGAGATAGAAGTCACTGGTATTCTTAGCACAGACAAATCTTCCACATCAACCAAAGTGGAAGAGGTTAATAACAGTAACCTCAGTCTGGAACTAGAATAAATGAGAAACATTAAATTCAATTATGATGAGTCTCAATCACATAGGGTAGGAAGTCTGGACTGCAGCCATCCAAAAGCTGTTATGAGAACTTATCCAATTCTCCTAGGAGGAAATAGAGCAGATTTTAAAAACTTCTTATTTTTTTACAGAAATGTATAGTCTGTAAAGTATATAGCTTAGCATGTCTGGTTGATAGGGCAACCTCTGCTTATGCCTATGGTGAACCGTTGCCTGTTAAGAACTGCAGATTTTTCTTTGGCAGTCCCTTGGCACTGCAACGTAGTACCTCTGAGCTACAATATTGGCCATCGTAGACTCTGTTACCTGCACAGATGATACCTTGCACAGCCAAGCTATAGGACATTAAAGAAATTACTTCTAAATCCCAATTAAAAGATTTGCTGTAGTTGGCAATTGACTGCTGTTTTTCCTGTGCTTTTTCTGCCTGAAGTGGGCGGAAAACGTTTTATGAATATTTGTGCCCTGTGAGAAAAAGCTGTTGGGCACCTTCAGAAATGAGTCACTCAGCATCATTAGTTGTATCTGAACAGGTCATCTGTGAGAGAGAGACCGGGTGCCAGAAAGTAAGGACAGAGCCATAAACAGAAGGAGAAGAAGGAATTTACCTCTCAAATATACTTAAAGAGTCTTTTTAGAGGTTCAGCTGCAACCAGAAGATAAACTGCCTCTGTGTCTTCAGCTCAGCTGTTATGGTATCCTGTCAGTCAGGAGAAAACAGTCTGAAAATGGTGATTATGAACAGGATGGGACAAATAATAGGGCTTGTGTTTGTCTGCAGGGCAGAAACGGAATTAAACTTCCTCAGCATCTTATGGTTGTATCACAGCATTGGGCTGTTCATACAGTAAGTTACCGAGGGAAGAGGATGAGAAACAACATGTGTCACAGCTCAAGTGAAGATGAGGGGAGACAAGAGAGGGATGCTCCATTTTAGGATTTCAATGGGGGGAAGAAAAAAAAAATGATATTACATTTTCTGCTGAATATGTTTTTTTTTTCCCAACAACACTTCAAAAACCCAGAACTATTTTAACTGGGAAATTCTGCATGCTGTTTCATCAGGAAAATGAAGCAGGGAACTAAGGATTCTAGTTTCCTCTCTGAGCTAGTTCATAGTTCACAGAGTATCTTCTCTTTCGCTGTGCAGTCATATCTCTTAAAGAGATGAGTTGGTGCAGTTTAGTTTGATGGCTGTTGAACCAGCAGTTCACAGTGGGTATTGCCTAATGGAGGAGCTCAAGCTGTGGAACAGAAAAGAAGAAATTAGTCAAAACACCAGTCCTTGTGTCTCTGTAAAAACATTCACAAATAGATTTCACATGTGCTTACTTTTTGAAACAAAATAATTTATATTTTCTATCAAAAGTAGACATCTTTTTTAGATACAAAGCAATTGTCTGTTGAAAATACAACATCTAAAGGGAACTTTTGTCCAATCTTCTTCTAAGAGGACTGGAAGAATATAGCTTTCTAGCATGACAGGAACCTAGCATGTCATTGCTGGAAATCTTAATTCTTCTGCCATGATGAGGTTTAGGTGAGCACAGAGCTGGAGATGTGGCTTGGACTGGCCAGAGAGATTGTTTTTTGGCAAGAGAAAGGATCACAAAGTCTCCTGTTTCAGCCATTCTTGTATTTGTAGCAATGGAAACAATAATTCAAGATAGTGGGTGATCTCAGTCATACCAGTCGTGTCATCCTCACTGTCTTCCACATTATTCCTCCTTCTCAAAGTCCTCTTTTCCTACAAATTATTCCAGGAGACACCCAGTGCACCTTTCTAGAAACATATGGATGTGTATGAGAGGTTTACGTGCCCCAGCATGCATTTTGTAAAAGTGAGAGGAAAGCCTAGCTTAGCTCTGTGTTCCAAGCAGCTGTGTTGGGGCGTGTATATTGTACATGCAAAAACTTTCATCCTAACATAGGGGAAATTGTAAAAAAAAAATAAAAAAAGCTTTTGAGTTTCTCAGATTAAAAAAAATAAAAGGTGGCTGTGAACAATTCCTTGCATATCAGAAGCATCATCTATAATAATTGTCTAGTTTTTTTGTATCTTTCCTAAATGACAGCAACCTGACTTTGTAGCTTCTATTTGGGCTGTATAAATATTATTGATAGATGTGGGCCTAGGAATCTAATTTGCTACATCCTCTCAATTCACTGTCATTGCAGTTCTATTGTATATTCTTAGGGCACTTGTATTTAAGTGCATTTCAAACACTGAACACTAAGTCTGGGTGTTGCTGCTGTAAGTAGTGTTTAGTATAGGTGAGCACTGAATGAAGCCCCAGGTACAGGAGATGAGAGCAGAACTGCCTCGAGCTGAGACCTAAACAACCTGGGCAGAGCTCAGTGTGGCATGTTGTAGTCACAGTGGTCCATTGGGTTGTGTGCCACTTTGATTGCAGTGCTTTACTGAATGCCTGCCTGAGCAGGGGTCCCCTTTGCCACTGGGGGTGCTCAGGCGGGGCTGTGGGTACCCGTTGTGGCGTGGGGAGCGTGGGAAGGAGCAGCCTTGCCTGCACTGCGCCAGGCCTTGCGATAGGGCCCCTCTGTGCTGGAGGTGCCCCTGCGTGGGTAAGTGGGGTGCAGTGCCATTGTGCTGGGGCTCCGGGTGGGAGCTGGGCAGTGGAGGTCCCGTCCAGCACCAGGATGGCTCCTGTCAGAGCAGGGCGAGCTGCCAGCCGTCGCACACACTGTGGTCACAGTGGTAGCACCATCTGAATTTTAAAATCCGTGTTAGGAGGAGATGGGTCTCCTGCCTGACTTGTGTTCTTATCAGTGTTCTCTTTTTATATTCTCTAGTAACTACCATAAACACCTAATTTCTTGCTCTGCTTCCGGGTTTCTTGCCAGTGGGAGAAGCTGCAGATGACGGCCAGTGAGAGGAGGAAGATCATGTGCTCTGTAACATTCCATATCATTGCCATCACCTGCGTTGTGTGGTCTCTCTACGTCCTGATAGACAGGACTGCTGAAGAGATTAAACAGGGACAGACTACTGGTATGTTACTTGCTTAACTTCCCACTTACTCTTTGGAATAACTGTTTATTGTGAATGCAGAGAGGATGCAGAGCAGGAGTGTGCAGGTAATGTTTATACTTAGGCTAGTCAGTTTTAGCCTGAGGTTGAGTTGGTTTCAAAGCACAGTTCTAAAATGATTTAGTTAAATCAGAGTAAATTCATCTGTGGGTGCTTTTTAAGTCTATGTCAAGTCCGTTTAGTTTGCACTAGTGAAATGCAGAGATATGAGAGCTAATCCAATGTAGCCAGACACAAAATAGCTAGTTTAGTTTTGTATTGTAACACTTACTGAGCAGATAAGGATATAAGAATTTGTTTGGGCCTATGGCTGCCTTTTTACTAGGCAAAATCAGAACTGTTTTTAAAAAGAGAAGAGGAACCTAAATCCAAATCTTTGAGGTAAATCAATAGTTTTCTTTCTAACCTGTCATCTGTGAAGCACAAGTTTCCTGTGAGAACCATGTTAGACTGGAGAAATTTTTATGAGTGATTGTGCCTGAGACAGAAGAAATTCAGATTGATTCTTAGGACTCCAGTTCATGCAACTGAGATGAGGTGCACTGCAATTCATGTAGGGGCTGCCACCACACTGCGGGGATGTCTCAACTTCTTGAACAGTAAGTTCCCTTTAGTATGCCTGCTGTAAACATGTCAGACTGAAACCTGGGTATGCTGGGCTGCAAATTTGCAGCTGTCACAGAACTGTTTCTTAAGAAGCTGAGCTGCCCCTTAAGGTGAGGATAGAAGGGACAGGGTATCCACCAGGGCTGGAAGCCGTTGGAAAGTGAGCTGTCCTTGCTTACAGAGCATTGCAGGCCAACTGGACATGCAGGTGGAAAATGTTTTGCTTGTAATTGAAGAGCATTATCTGGGGGAGGCAGCTGAGCACTGATAAACCTGCAAATCCACAGAATGATGCTTTGAACTGAACAGATTTGCTGTCATTTCTCGTTTGGGCTACAGTTTGATTGTTCATGACTTCAGTCAGGAAGCTGCTTTGGATGAAATATTCTAGTTTCTGTTCCATCCAACCCCATCTCTTCCATGTATGGTGAAAATTGTTGGCCTTTTCAGTGTAAGGATTCCATATGATAATGAAAAGCATACACTTTCAAAGATTTTTATCATCTCCAGATTATTTTTGCCAATAAATACATTAGATAAACATGAATAGGAGCAGTAGTGTGGTGAATATTCAGTAGGTGTGATAGTGCCTTCTTTGCTCCCTTCGCTTGGATTCCAAATCTGGGGAGAGCTGTAATGAGCTGTGGGGTGTGGGGAATGTGGGGGTATGCATTCATGTACAGGGGCAATTATATAATATCACTGCCTACAGATGGCATCAGACAGCTCATTTGTGAATTAGAGGTTCAGGTATTAATCACAGGTTGGATTTTGTTGGTAGTTGTGCTCCAGTGCCCTTTGTATTTTGAGACTGAAATATTTTCATTTCTCCTACACTGCCACACGTTTCAAAAAGATCACTGGGCTGTAGCTTGGTAAAAGCTGTGAAGGCTTGGAAGGCCATGATTTTATTCGTGGTTTTGTATCCATCGTGTGATGCTGCTTATCTTTGAAGAGGCTAGATAGAAAATAGATAAAATGAAGTGTCTCTCATTTAAAACTAGTTGATAGATATCACAAGTTCCAGTGTCTAAAAGTTCAAGCTAGACAAATTCAGGAAAAGTAGTGGTGGTCAGTTTTAATGATGGAACATAAGCCTGACAGGGTGAAAGCTTCAGCATTTCCAACACTTGTAGTTTTTGCATGTAGACACTACAACTACAAGTTACTGCATCTGATGAAACTGAAATTGTCTGGTCTGCATAAAAAACATGCAGATAGTTACCAGGCTAGATGGTAACAATTGTTCCCTCTTGAGTTTAATGACTATGACTCTATATACTGGGTGATCACAGAGTGGAACAGACCTCTTGGATCACTGAGTTGGGTCTCCTGCTATGAAGAGGAAACCATGCCATAGAATTCCTCTCATAATCTGATCCATTTTTTGTTTAAAGTCAGGACTTTAAAAAGGGACTTAAACATATTACTGGCTGTTGACTTGACTTTGTTTGTGATTGTGCTGCACAAATGCCTAGACACAGAGAAGCAATTGTTTTGTTTCTCCTCTGGTGGGAGAGGCTAAATGTGATATGTCAAATAAAAATCTGGATATGTTTGACTTGAAGCTGGGGGGAGCAAACAAGAAAAACAGCAAAATAAGAATAGTTTGCCTGGCCCAAACTCTGTGATAGCTTCTTTACAGGGTGTTTTTGAGAGATACGATGTAATCCAGCCAGTATTGACCAGGTCCTTTTTCTTTCTTCATTTTTGTATTTTCTTTCTTCCAGGGATTTTAGAGTGGCCATTTTGGACTAAGCTGGTGGTTGTGGCTATTGGTTTCACTGGAGGACTTCTGTTCATGTACGTACAATGCAAAGTGTACGTGCAGCTGTGGAAGAGACTTAAAGCTTATAACCGAGTAATATATGTACAAAACTGTCCAGAAACTAGCAAAAAGAATATTTTTGAAAAACCTGCACTAATGGAGCCAAACTTCGAAAGTAAAGAAATGCTTGGGGTTCACCATTCAGACACAAACTCTTCACATTACACAGAACCAGAAGACTGTGCTGCAGAAATCCTTCACGTCTGATTGCTGGGGGGGGAGGGGTGTTTCTGTATGTCCTTGAAGATTTAAAATATCATTGTTTACTGCAAACTGCTCTACCTTTTTAAAATCAGCTGAGCGCTGAGGTCTGGTGGATGAATTTTTTTACATTTCTTTTTTGTTGAAATTTTTTTAAAATCCCTTTGGCATATCTGTCAATGTCATCATGGTTGCATACCTCTCAAGATTTTGTCTCAAACTGGCTGATCAAAGAGCCACAGGATACTGGGTAGAATAAGCCTTGGGTTTGGTATCAAGCAAGCTGCTAGTGAACTGTCATCAACTTCATGGAGTCTGTTACTTTAGAAGATGACTGTAAATGATTCTGGAATATCTGTAGGGTGGGGTGGGTTTGTTTGTTTGTTCTTCAAGTGTGATGAAGGAGGTTGTCCAAGACATTGAGGGAAATGAGAGAGTCTAATCTACCGCTAACACTGCCACTAACATTTTGTCTTAGGCAGCAAGTGTAAAATTTTGCTTTACATATTGTGATGAGACTTACAAAGCATATAGCACTTTTAAAAATCTTTATTTTGTAATATGTATGTCAAATGAGACTGAAACTTGAAAGAATGTGTCATTTTCAAAACATTTCTTCATTCTTTAGCCCATCTATTTTTCTGGAACATAAACCTCTTGCCTTATAAAAAAAAAAATATTACAAAAAATTCCAACCTATGATTTCCAGCACATGCTCACATTCTCTTACTGAACATAACACTAAAAAATATGCCTCTTTAGATTTCCTTTGAGGAGCAATTGTTTTCAAAGGATATTGCACTTGTGACTTGTGTATGGGGAGCAGTGGATGTGTACAATGTTCCTTTTCAATGCGCAATGGTTTCAGTGCTCTGTTTTGGAGATTGGGTTTTGGGTTTTTTTGTGGTTTTGTTTTTGTTTTTTTTTTCCAACAGGTTAGACCATCCACACGCCTGCAAATATATACCTGCTGTAACTTTCATTCCAAACCACTGGCAAAGGGTTTGTTGCTATATTGGTAAAAATATGAGCTGTTATGGGAAAACAGGATACTTGGTCAATACAGCTGAAATTGGTTTTCCTTCTTTAGTTCTGTGTCATGTGTGAATTACCCAAGAATTTCACAATGTCAGGGAAGGTGCCGAGTTCAAAGTCTAAGAAGTAGACATTGCAATAAGTGGATGAATTTAAAAACACCTGCCTGGTTTTAGTCCTGATGATGATGCATTATGTGGTCAGAGAATAGTTTTGACTGTGCTTTTGAATTTTGGACTGGCTTTTTAATCAGTCAGCCTTAATGAAAAGAGAGGAACAGCTTTAAAATCTGTTCGCAGGGCTTTAGACAGAGTTGCCCAAAGCCTGGGGTGTCTGCTATTAATTCACTTGACCAACCTGCCTCACTGAACCACTGTCCAGCTTCAAGCCCTCTTTTAACCAAAGTCTCAGTGTGACTGGAGCAGAAACACAAAGCCCTACAGAAAGTCAGCACACAAGGCCTCTGCATTTGAAAGCTGACTTTCCTTATCTGAGCCCTGTCTAAATCTCTGTAAAGTCAATGGTAATCTTCTGGTTGGTCTTAGTAGGAGATGCCTGGACTTCTTAGTTAAATAAAGCTTCTGTTTACTTGTTGAGATACTGAACTACATCCCCAGCTCTAGTTCAGGTTTCATTTAGTCTTTTCCAAGTACAACTTTCATTGGGCATGTTCTTTTCATAATATAAGTAGTTGCTTTAAGACTTCACAAAGAATAACAGTAAGAAAACCATTTTTTTTTTTTTCCTTAGAATGATTAATTTATCTCTAAATCAGCATTTTAAAAGAAGGCACTGAGGGGGGTAGGGTAAGACAAGACACACAGCAGTTTCTAAGAGCTGTTGGAGGAAAAGCATGTGTGTGCATGTGCCTCTGAGCCATCTCCTGCTTGAAGCTTACTGGCTGTGGTCTTCAACAACAACATGGTAGCTTGTTCCTAAGACATTTTAAAATACCCAGACCTCTAGGCAGTCCTAGCAAAGCTACACTGGCATGGGGTTGTGTACTGTGCTAGGTGTCAGGATATCCCCTACTTGGGGGATATAGGCAGACAGACGTTGCATACCCTGCTAGCATCAGGGCAGCAGTCTTTGTGACCGTATGCATGTGGAGTTTGTTGCCTGTGCCTGCCATGATTTAAAGTGCAATTACTCAGGCCCTTTCCTGAACTCTGCTGTGGGTGGTCCTCTTCTATTATGAGAACCCAGATAATACACTGTCTTGGTTTGTTTTCTATTTTGTTCTGTGAAAACATTTACTAGATAAACTCAGGTGGGTTTTATCAGGTCTTACACACCTTCATCTTGTTCTTCTGAAATGCCCAAATGCACAAGGGTTACATGTTTGCAAGACGCTCACATTGCACCTGCAAGATGCACAGAATTAGCTGCTGACTGATTATGTGGACGTTCTCTTTCCATCTTTGGCTAGTAGATGAAATGAATATGGGTAAGTTGTGGTATGAAACCTGCTTGTTCTCTGGCTGGGACCTGAGAGGCACAGGTGTCTGGCTGATGTTCTGACAAGTACTGATACAGCAAACTGTAACATACTGGTCCTGTTTCAATCACAGTTGTACCTGATTCTTGGTGACACATGGTGAAATCTCATTTGGTGGTGTGGAAGTTCCACGTGGCACATACTAGGTAGTGTTCCGTGTATTCATGATACTGAAAGTTTTTGCTGTGCCCCTGTGTATCTTAACTTGGGAAGAAGAATCATGTCCAGCAAAATCATCTGTGGGGAAATGCTTGCAGATGAGACTGTTGTAGCCAGCACGTCTTTTCTGAAAGAAAATTAAAGCCTAACATTTAAACTCTTTGTACTGCTTAGGAATGCTCAAACCAGGAAGAACTGTAGAACAGATCCATCTGCCAGAGGGTTTAATTTATGCTGGTCACACTTCTCATGCTGATTCTCACTTAATGTTATCAATGGGCTTCTGGAGCTGCAGGTCTCTGCTTCTGCATGGTGCCATCAAATAGTCTGAGAAGGCTGAATGGTGCTTTTTCCTTCTTCCTCCTCAAAGAGGTACAGCTAACTTGTTTTCAGCTTCCAGCTGTGAGACACTGATGCTAGCTCAGGTGAGCTCTATCCTTTCTACCCAGATGTCAGTAAGGGGAACAACCACCCCCTGTCAGGTCAGGCTTTCCAGCACTCCTGGCAGCTTTTGAAATTACTGAAATAGAAGTCTGACTTTTTTTTGTTCCTTGGTCAAAGTTAGTTCAGGTTACCTGAAACTTTTCTGAGGCAAGAATTTTAGTAGGAATGACTATAGGCTTAATACCATCTACCACGATTCTTTTCTTAGATTGGCAGAGCCTTTGCTGATACTTCCCATGCCCTAGACATCTGACCAGAATCTCATTCTATTGACTTAAACCTGTCCAAAAAAGCACCGGCTGTGCCAAGGAAGTTTCCCTGCTGTGTCATATTTGGTGTATCTGCCTTGCATTGTGTTAGAAATACAGGTGTGTGATGCAGAAGGTTGATCCCATTTAAGACATCATGAGACATTAAATTCCTTTGAGTTCTCAGGACTTTCTTCAACTGTAACCCTGTATTTTGGGAGCAGGGATGGTGTTTAAAATGTTGCCCTTTGTTCTGAAGAGATGGCCAGACCTGGGACAGGTTGAATGTCGTTGATATCGGCTTTGCTTCCGCAGGATGGATTCAGTGAAGGTTACACTGAGCCTGCAAGGGGTTAGAGAAGTGCTGGGCCTCTGTGCTGTACCTGGGAAATCCTGGAAAGCAGCAGTAATCCCCTGTCCAGGCCCACTTCTGCCAATCCCCTGTACTGATCAGAGCATCAGTCCCACTTGTGGCAGTGCTGTAGGGAAGGGGTCTGCTCAGCATCCCGCTCTTCAGAAACCTTGGAAGTGATGCACGGACATGGTCACGCGTGGGAGCTGGTTCCTTCTGCCCCGTGTTTGACTGGGTAAGTATCTCTTACAAAGTGGGACCCAGGTCCAGATTGCTCCTATAGCTGAAGTGTGTTAAGATGCAGATTTCTGGTGTGGTCTACTGTGGAGACTGTGGCCAGCAATGAAAGGGAAGTTGGTGACTCTGGGTTGGGTCCCTCTCAAATATGGGTGAAACAGGGCAAATAAAAAAGCAAGATTATTGCTGGCTGGATTTTCACAGCATTATACTAGATATGCAAAGAAAACTTCTAAGTTGGACCTTTTATTTTGTGATTATTTTTTTGTTTTGAGATATTGCAGTGTCTGTATATTCCAATGAAGTCCTGAAAGCACTTGTCTTTGTATAGGCGATAACTGTTTAAGAGTTGCAGCTGATCTTGTATTTAGGCAAAATATTTGTAGATAGATAATTGTATAGCGTTAAATAACTTTACACTGGCATGTGTTGTATAGTTTATACAAGACACTTCACACCTCTGCAGAATTTTTTAGTTAGTATATTTCTAGTAACTTAAATGTATAGTTTTGTATCCTTTTATGTATGTTCATTTTCTCAGTATTACCACTTGCAGAATTATTTTTAGTTTCTTAAACTGTAATTGTTTGTGTGTGATACACAGGGTTATCGACTGCAGCAATAAAGTGTTTCTATAAAAAAAAAAAAGAATGAAACAGAAGCATTATAGTATCCATTTTGTTTGAAAAAGCATTAGAGGCCCATATGAGAGAATAATTGAGCTCTCCAGTAGTAACTGATTAAAGTCAAATGTTGATTAAAGTGAGTTACTTCACTGGAGTAAACATGGAACTTGATGACTCTTCAGTGTAGCAGGCCAAGATGGAGTAGCATCCCATGACTGGTGAACATTAAAATGATTCATAATGATAAAGGGACATTTAACCATCAGAATAAGTGGGCGGCAACTCCTTTGATGCAGTGACAAGATATGATTGCAGGTGCTTTGGGCTCAGATGCAGGAATCATGGGGAGAATTTTCTGGCTTTTGCCATGCAGGAGGTGGAGAGAGAAGTGGAGTTTCTGGAATCAA